GGGAGTCCAGCGACATAGCCATTACGCTAACTGCTGGTCCTGTAACTCTTCATTTTTATTCTGTTTTACAAGTTAGCTCTCAGAACACAAATGATTTTCCCGTTCCCAAGTTCTGACAGTGACTCCCTTGTGCTGTTCCAACAGAATACTACAGAATGGGTGATGTGTAAAAATAGAAGTTCTTTTTTCATAGCTTCAGAGCCTGAAAATCCAAGATGAAGGCACCAGTAGAGTCAGTGCCAGGTAAGGGCTGCTTTCAGCTCCCAAGATTGTGCCTTGTTTACTGTATCTTCACATAAGGGAAGGTGGAAAGGCAGAAAGGGGCTGACGCTGTGTGAAGCCTCTTTTACAAAGGCATCAATCCCACTTGCAAAGGCAGAGCCTACATGACCTAGTCACCTCCCAAAGGCCCAATCTCTGACCAAGAGTCCTCAGAGATTAAGTTTCAACATGAATTTTGGAGGGACTCAAAACATTCAGACCATAGCAGTCAGGATCCCTCATGACAGTCCTGCAGGGTATAGATAAGGAATGGTACTAGAAATGAGTCTTATCCAGATCGCGATTTGTTGAGCATAACAGTAAAGAATATGGGCTCTGGAGTCACATAGGTAGGGACTGCACTTAGTCTCACCTCATCTGTTGACCAGTTGTATAACCTTGAGCAAATAGCCGTTCAAGCCTGAGTCTCTTAAAAATGTCTGTCCTATGGCTGGCAGGGTGGTGTGGTAGTTGAGAAGCTGGACTTCCACATGGGTGACTGCAGTTTGAGTCCTGGACTTGGAAGCTTGCTTTCTCACTCCTCTCTCTCTGTCACTGTCTCTTTCTGGTGAGTTCATGTGCCCCAGAGCAAATTTTAAAATGATAATAATAAATAAATTAATTAATAATTTTAAAAATAGGATCTTAAGAAAACAAATGCCTGTCCTTAAGCCAGCAGGTGGCATAATAGTTAAGGCACTAGATTTTACGTGATTTACTCTGTGGTTCAAGTCCCAGAGCCGGCAGCATGAAAACATGCCAGGTACATGTGTACTCTCCCCCCAAAAAATTCTGGGGGAAGAATGAAGGAGAGGTAACTGAGGCATGGCCATCTTCCAGAGGGTGGGAGGAAGAGGGTGATATGTCACTCTTTCTCTAGCGAGCACACATGCCCTATAGCGAAAGTCTTAAAAAAAAAAAAGAATCTGTCCTTGATTTTATGATGAAAAACTGATCATACAGAGCAACTGTTACAGTGCCTGGCTCCTAATAGATACTTAATAAATAAAAGCCATAGTTGTGTTATTATTGTTAGAACTTAGTGCTGGCCATGGCTAAATGAGTTTTACTCATAGAGGCTAAACTACATACCCAAACCAGGAGCTTAGATCTGCTTCCTTACTCCCCATGCAAACCCAGGGCTTTTTTTTTTTCCCTGTGTGTGTGTGTGTGTGTGTGTGTGTGTGTTTGTGTGTGTCTGTGTCTATGTGTTGTTTTAGGGATATGGTCTTGCTGTGTCACGATTCTCCTATCTCAGCCTTTCAAGCAGCTGGGACCACAAGTTTGAGCTACCATGCACAAGATTTTTTAGGGTGGGCCAGGAATCGAACCTGAGTCTCCCATGTGATCTGAACCTGCCAAGCACAGCATCCAGTGCATGCTACTGCAGGTAGACCTGGGGCATTTCTTCATATAACTGGAAGTGGCTGTGGCTGTGGAGTACAGGTTAACCCATAAATGAGATGCATTCTACATGCCTACTCTGCTTGTTTCTCTTGGTCTAGTGACTCTATGGGGCTGCAGGGATGCGGATTGGAAATATAACCTGATTTCTGGTCCCTGACTGCTACTGAGTCAGCCTCTACTCCACAGGCTTCACTCCTCCCCTTTTCCCAGCAACTGGTGTCTCTACCTGTCCTACGCTCCACCCACGTGGATGCCCTCTTTCTTAGTTGCCTTGGGAAGGATGGGATTGATGACTGACCAATCTTAGTGGCTTGTCCTCACAGAAATATTCACTTATGAATTCAGTGTTAAACTGAAATTAGCGTGAAATAACAAACCCGTCAGAATCTGCAAGTGCCTGGCACCTAGTAGGTGATCAATACATACTTATTAAGTGATTAATGGAGGGGATTTCAGGCACTGTAGCAAATTCCTCAGGGGCATCTTTAGGCCTGGGGACTTCCCTGGGGCCATTCCAATCACCCCATAGAAGGTGGTTTCCTGCTCCAGTTACTAAGAAGGTCAGCCCTGAGCAAGGGCTCCAGCCCAGGCCCTTTTGAAGCATTGAGGTTGATTCTACTTGGAGCTTTAGGAGCTTTCTCGCTTCGCTGTGCTTTAGATCCATTAAAGCCCTGCCCTGGTGGGATGGGTTCCCAGAGGCAGTGATGGAAAGCTCACCACTTAAGTTATTTATGCTTTGGCTGCCCGGGCCTGAAAAAATGCCCTTGGGACTAATCCGAAGTGCAGGAGGATAAGTTAAATGGTTTAATAGATCCTGGCAGCTTCAGAAAGGACTAATAGCTCAGCATTAATTGGGTACGTAGAGTGCAGATGAATCTCTGCAAAGGTATTCCAGATCTGCCCACTCAGCTATCACCGCCTTCAAAGCATCGCATCAGTAGAATTCCAAACTGAGGCTGATTATTAAAGAAATACGAATGCCTGATATTCACGCCAGTCTTCATACTCCTCACACACATGTTTGTCCTCTCAGCAACAGAGCGAGTACCTACTGTGTGACAGGCATTGTGTGGGGGGGGATGGGGTGGTGCTTAGAGATCAATGAAGTTCCTGTCCTGTCCCCACCAACCTCTATTCCTAAGGCAAAGGTTAAGAATTAGAAAAGAATGGGACAGGTGCGGGGTTGGAGGTTTGTTTAGAGAGGTGCCCAGGATGGTAGAGGCCCTGGCTCTGCCTGGGGTGGTAGGTGGCAGAGGAAGCATCCCGGGTAGGTGGGGACTAGAAGCGCATGCCAGGCCTCTGAGGAGGCAGACAAGGACTCTCATCCAAGGGAGCAGTACTGACTCATGCAGAAATTACACAGGGAGCAACGAGCGCAGGGGACGGGGGAGTTGGGGGATAGGCAAGGAGGGCAGGAGCTGGGTCCCAAAGGGCCCCATGGAGGAGTGGCTGCTTTCGCTCTGATGTGACAGTGAGTCACCAGAGGATTGGAATACGGACATGACATGTGCAGCTTCAGGTTGTGAAAAGGACACCTCTGAGAGTGCAAAAAACACACGAGCAGGGACCAGATCAGAAGCAAAGAAACCTCTCCTAAGGGTCAAGGACATGATACAGGGCTCAGAGGTTTAAATTCTTGATGCGTTTGTTAGCACAGGGACATTGGACAGCTCACGGAACCTCTCTGAGCTCCTTCCCCAAGGTGGAGAACAAATACAAAGACGTCTAAGAAAGAGTATTTGGGGCACTTTGATCGCAAGTGATAGAAAGCTATCTTGAACGAAGGCCCTGGCAAAAGAATTTATAGGAAATCTCATGCTGCCAGGGAAAGGCAGGGCATAGTGGTCCTTGGGCACAGTAGTTTCCCCAGGAGCAGTTGCTACTACAGGCTTTCTCCATCTCTTCCATTTCCGCTCCCACCTGAGTGCTGGGGCCACGATCCTTCCTGGACACCTCAGGTCTCAGAGCCTCGCCACCAAGGGGTCTGTGTTTCTCCTTTTAGTTGCAGTTGGACAAGTCCCGGAAAGGACTTTGACCAGATGGTGGCAGGTGCTCTTCTATTAACTAGTCAACACAGCCGGGGTGTGACATACCATGATCGATACAACCTGAGTTGGTGGTCCCTCTTCATTTAATTAAATGTGACCAGGAAACCAGCAGCTGGAGAAACAATGGTAGCTTCTGCTCAAAACACAGGGTCTGGGATCAGCAGATGGCTTAATGGCTATGTTGCTGGACTCCCATGTAGTCAACTGTGGTTTGAATCCTAGACCTGGTGGCTTAAACTCATTCTGGGAACATGTGCACACGTGCCCAAGATCTCGATAAGAGAATGGAAGAGAAGGGATTGTGGTGTCACCATCTTCCCAGTGGGTGATTTCTCGCTTTCTGTCTCTCTGTTGCTCTTTGTCTTTCTGGCGAGCGCACGCGCCCTATAACAAAAACCTCTCAAAAACAAAACCAAACAAACCAAACAAACAAAACACAGGGGCATAATGTAGGAAGCAACATTTCCTGAAAGTATGGGTACAATAGGGTTGTCATGGCTGTTTGTGTCCTCTCAAAATGTATATGTTGAAATTTTAACCCCCAGTGTAATGGTAGTTAGGTTTGGATGGTAATTAGGGTTACACGAGGTTATGAAAATGAGACCTTTGGGGCCAGCAGGTGGCGTGGTGGTTAAGGGTGTTGGACTCCCACGTGGCTGGTTGTGGTTCAAGTCCCAGACTTGGTGGCTTGCTTTCTCAATTTCTCTCTCTCTCTCCCTCTCCAGTCAAATTAAAATAAGCAAATAAAGTTAAATAAAATAATTCTTTAAAAAAATTAAGAAAATGAGACCTTCATAATGAGATTAGTGTTCTCCTTATAAGAAAACAGAGAGATTTCCTCACACCCATGGAGAAAAGGCCATCTGAGAACACAGTGAAAAGAAATCATCTACGAACCAGGAAGACAATCCCTCAAGAACCAAATTTGCCAATACCTTAAATTTTATTTTTTGGAGAGGTTTTTGCTATAGGGCACGTGCGTTCGCCAGACAGAGAGAGACAGAGAGACAGAAAGCGAGAAATCACCCCCCAGGGGGGATGGGCACGCCGCAATCCCTTCTCCATTCTCCTCTCGGGATCTTGGGCACACACGCACATGTGCCCAACGTGAGTTTAAGCAACCGGGTTCGGGACTTGAACCACAGTCGACTATGTGGGAGTCCAGGGAGTAGCCATAACACCAACTGCTGGTCTCAATACCTTAATTTTAGATTTCCCAACCTCCAGAACTGAGAAATAAATGTCTATTGTTTAAGTCATCTGGTCTATAATATTTTATTACAGCAGCCCAAGTTAAAACAGAAGCATAATCCCAGAAAAAGAGGAGTGATACTGGACATATAAAACTGGATAAAGACCTGGATGGTGGCACAATGGTACAACTTGATGCTCTGCAAAACTGACCTACATGGGGGAGGTTCCAGGTTTATATATGGAAACCTCCCCGAGCACACAAGAATGACTGGCTGAAGTGAATGGTGGATCACAGCATCAAGACCCTGTTGGGAGTGCTGTCTGTCTTGCTCATGAAAGAAATAAATTAATTAAAAAAAAAAGGATCAGCATTATAAAATACTTTGTAGACATCAAACATATAAATATATTGTTCACTTTTTGATAGTGGTTCTCCTTTAGATTCATCCGTACAGCTTCAGTACATAGAATAATACACACAGTGGGAACTTAAGAACAGACGGGATTAAACTAGTGAATGCCATAGACTGAGTGAGTGGATAGTCAATAGCACAACACATGGGGGAGTCCAACTTTATCAGGGATGAGTTTCTAAAGTCCGTACAGAGTGTGAAAATCACATGTGATCAATATTACCCTTGAAAGCTCCCCATGGAGTGCCAAATTGAAAAACCACAAACCATCACTCAGTAAATTCGACAGGACCATTTTCCTTCTAAGATGGAACACATCACTGAATCCGTTGGTCAAACACCAGAGGAAACAGCTCTTATCGAAGGTCGATGCATTATGAGAAAATACATTAACATCAGAGCCCAATTCAGCGTGGTGAGATGCACAGGACAGAAGGAGAATTTCACTGCTTCCATCTTGGGCTCTCTCTGGATGTGGGTCCTCTGAGCGGAATGGCAGGTGGAATCACTAGTCTTAGTTAAGCAGTCATTTTTCTCTCCCATCATGTACAAGTGTAGTTGAAATCCTGTAGTCAGACGGGCATTTGGTAGCATGTCCTCTCGTTCACTCTCTGCATAGGCCTAGTGTTCATCTTCCACGATGTGCATTCAGTAAGGCAGGAGGCCTGTGTGCGCCGTGCACTCTAGACTCTCCAGTGCCCACCACAATGCCTGACATACTGTGGGCTCTCACTAACTATGTGTTAAAGAAATGATTTTGTTGCAGAGGCACCATGCTTGGTGCTGAAGGGATGAAATTCTGGCTCTTCCCTCAGGATATAGTCAACCTAGTAAGGAAGATAAGGCGTGGGATGCCTGAAAATGCATGAACTGACAATAGTGTTAATGCCAATAAATAACAGAGCCAAGACTTATCACACAGTTGGTAATGAACTGAACTGCAAAGATTGGCTTGAAACCATGCCCAGGTGTACACGTGTGCCTCAGATCCTGACAAGTTGGAGGCTAAGAAAAAGGGATGGCAGTGAGATGAGATCCCGTGACTTCTCTTTCTCTCTCTTTGTCGGTCTTTCTCTCTCAGACTTGTGCATGCACTATCATAAATACAATAAATAAACTTTAAAAAAAGAAAATAAATAATAGATGGAAAGTTGCTGTAGGCTCTTGGAAGCAGCAGGACCTGTCTCCCAGATTTTGCTCTAAATGCCATCCAATCTGCTGCTCCTTTCCTCCAGAGAAGTCTTTGATTTTCTGCAGCCTGGGCAAGTCCATGCTCAAAGGTTGACTTGCTGTTGCCTGGAGCCAGTTTCTTTGGGATCTCTTTGTTTTGGCTGTGCCTAGAGTGGGCAGGAATTCCCGCGAAGTGAAGTGACGTGATACTCATGTGTTTGCAATGATGGTGGTTAAACAAACGTACTGCACTGCCAGGTGTGTAAAAGTTAGTATATATACTTACATACAACACGTAATACTTGATAATGGTAATAAATGACTATTTTACTGGCTTAGGGATTTACTATACTTTTTAATCATTATTTTAAACTGATTGGTAGGATTAACTGATTGTTACCAACTGTGTGATAAGTCTGGGCCCTGTTATTTATTGGCATTAACACTATTGTCACTTCATGTATTTTCAAGCATTCCACACCTTAACTTCCTTATTAGGTTGACCATACCCTGAGGGAAGAGCAATTTCACTGTCCTCCACATTTCATCCCTTTAAACTACTTATATATGGATATAAAAAGTATTCAGTAGGCTGTGTTATGCCAGCAGTAATCTCATATATTTTGTTTCCTGGGTCTCTTGGCTGCATCATTTTCTCTTGTGCTTGATTTAATCTCATGTTGTCATGTTTTATGGCTCTTTCAGTGAACAAGATGTGGTGGTTAAAGACAGTGATATTGGTGATCCTGACCCGGAGTAGGCCATAGCTAATGTGTGTGCTTATTTCTTCATTTTTAACAAAAAAATCTTAAAGAGAATTTAAAAAATGGAGGCTGGCAGGTGGCATAGTGATTAAGGTGCGGGATTCCCACATGGCTAATGCAGTTCGAGTTAGGACTCTAGCAGCTTGAAACTACCACACCACGCACATGTACCTGGACACGTGTGTCCAAATCCCAGGAGAATGGAGAAGGGATTGCAGCATGGCCAATCCCCAGGAGGTGTGATTTCTCACTTTCTTTTTCTCTGTCTCTCCAGCAAGAACACATGACCTATAGCAAAAATCTCTCAAATTTTTTTTGGAAAAAGCTTCTAGAATAAGGATTTTAAAAATATATATTTTGTACAGCTGTACACTATGTTTGTGTCATAGGGTTATTGGAAATGTCAAAAAGTTAAAACATTAAAAAGTTTATAAAGTAAAAATGTCACAGTAAGTTAAGGTCAATTTATTATTGAAGAAAGAAATACGTTTTTATAAATCTTTTGGGGCCTACATGTAGAGTGTGTTTAAAGTCTGTGATCGTGTGCAGTAATGCCCTAGGCCTTTGAATGCACTCACAACTCACTCACTGACTTACTGAGACCAACTTCTAGTCCAGCAAGCTCCATTCATAAGTGCCCTGTACAGGTATACCATTTTTACCTGTTCTATTATCTAGTTACTCTATCTTTTCTATGTTTAGATATAGATACAAAAATACTTACCCATTGTGCTATAACTGCCTGCAGAAGTCAGTACAGTACAGACTTGTAACCTAGGAGCAATAGGTTGTAATTGGCTACACCATTTAGGTTTGTGTAAATGCACACTATGATGTTTGCATTACAGTGAAATCTAATGACACATTTCTCAGAACATAACCCCATCGATAAGTGATTCATATCTGTATAGGTATGCATATGTCTTAATCCATTCGGGCTGTTGTAGCAAAATGTCATACACTGGGTAGCTAATACACAACAGAAACCTGAGCCAGCCCAAAGTGTGGTAGTTAAGGTGCCTGGATCCCACAGGGCCTACTACTCCATTTTAGTCCTAGACCTGGCAGCTTGAGAAGCATGCTGGGCCCATGTGCATGTGTGCCCAAAATCCCAAAAGGAGGGAGAAAGGAAAGAGAAAGGACTGCAACATGACCATGCCCCATGGGGAGTGATTTCTCATTTTCCGTCACTCTCTCCTTCTCTCTCTGTCTCTCCCCAGTGAGCACTTGGTCCTTCTGGTAAAACTTAGAGCAAAACAAGACCCAGAAACACATTTCTGATGGTTCTGGAGGCTGGGAAATTCAAGATGAAGGTGCTGGCAGATTGAGTGTCTGGCAGGGGTCTGTAGTGTCATAGTCTACTGTCTTCTTACTGTATCCTTATACAGCAGAAGGAGCAAGAGATCTCTCTGGAGTCCTTTATTAGAGCATTAATTCCATCATGAGAGTTCTATTCTCGTGACCAAATCACTTCCCAAAGACTCCACCTCCTAATACCATCACCTGGGGGTTAATATTTCATCATACAAATTTTGAAGGAATACATTTAGTCTATAGCAACAAGTAAATGCAAAAATTGAATCATATATCATTCTATAATATGATTTTTTTCACTTTTACTATATCCTGAGCATCTTTCTTTTTAAAATTTATTTAATTTTATTTATTATCATAATCTTTTTAATGTTCCATTGAATCACACATGTCTTTACAGTGTACTACACTTCTTTTTCCAGCATGATTACCATGCATAACAGTCAAGACAAAGACATTACTATCCACATCATCATCATCAAATAGCTTTTCAGCATTTTTTAGGTTATTGTTATTATTTATTCTCTATTTTTTTCAAACATTCAATCTCTATATATCATTTGGCTTGTATAAAGAATTTACCCAACATGAAATACTTCTCAGTCCAGGTGAAATACTTTCACCAGTCCAGGTGAAAATACTATGCATGTTATCATCAACGGGTAATAAGTCATTTTTGTGTCCCACTAATGTCATGCCTCTCCATTTGTTCTCTCTGCTGTTCTTTTCTATACTCTTCCCTTCTCCCCCTGCCCTGTTACACACTGTCTTCAGCATCCATAACTATTTTCACTGCTTTTAAGCCCTCCAATATTTCAATCTCTACCATAAAGTGTGGATAGTCAGTATATATTAAGTGGATACATGCAATATCTTTCTTTCATATTCTGGCTTCCTTCACTCAGCAATAGATCCTGCACATTTGACCATTTTCTTTTCTTTTCTTTTTTTTTCTTTTTTTGAGAGGTTTTTGCTATTGGGTGTGTGTGCTCTCCAGAAAATCAGAGAGACAGAGAGAAAGAAAGCGAGAAGTCACCCCCTGGGGGAATGGTCATGCTGCAATCCCTTCTCCATTCTCCTCTCAGCATCTTGGACATGCATGCACATGTGCCCAGAGTGAGTTTAAGCCACCAGATCGGGGACTCAAACCACATTAACCACTTTCTATCAAATGCCAGGATCTCGTTTTTTTAATGACTGAGTAGTATTCCATAGAGTATATGTGCCACACTTTTTCTATCCATTCATCTGTTTGTAGACATTTAGGTTGGTTTCATGTTTGAGTCATACTGAATAATGCTGCAATAAACATTGATATGCAAACACTTTTCTGACTGAGCATTCTCCTGTCCTTTGGGTAGATACCCAGAAATGGATTGCTAGATCAAGTGGTAGTTCTATTTGTAGATCTTTGATGAACCTCCATATTGTTTTCCACAATGGCTGAACCAGTTTACATTTCCACCAACAGTGTAGGAGAGTTCCCCTCTCACCACATCTCTACCAACACT